TGATTTAGTATCTCAAAGTTATGGACTTGCAATCCATAATTATAACTTTGTATCAACATCTGACTGAACATGATTTAAGATGCTAAATTATCTATATTTTAAGTTTTTAGATGCAAGTCGTTAGTGCATAAATAACAGATAAAGTATATGTTTGTACATTAACTTGTTTACACATTAAACATGCCTGAATTTTAATGCATATMTAATACATTAACTCGTAAAAAGCTTATACATGTTTATGTGTTGAAGTCACATTAAAAATAAAATGTAATAAAATGTTTGTGGCACCACTGGCTTTCCGCACTATTACAATATTTGCCTTTTAGTGTAAAAATTGGACATGTATTTAATACATAACGCGAGGCAAACAAGTAAAGTATGTTGTTTACAAGTCAAAGTCATATGAAGTCACTTTATTTTCTTGGCACTGATAGCTTTGATAGCTGACTAAATTTTGTGAACTTGATTAGATTAAGTTTTTTCCCCCTTTCACAGTTGTAACTTTTAAATTGGATGAAAATGTTTTAATTAAATTACAACTGCAAACACCTTTTATGTCCTAAAGAGGGCGTACTTTGTGTGTAAAAGACACATTTACTGAAAAGTACATGAGAGCGCGTTGCATAGTAACCAAGTTGTTTACCTACGCTACTAGCTAGCTAACTAGCACGTAGCTAGATATATTTAAACTAAAGTCATTTTTGCATCAAAATCYTGTTTTAGTGTTCAGCCTTTCAAAAAATAATAATATATGAATAAATCTGTTGTGGGAAATTGATATTTTTGTTTTGTTTAGGAAAATATTTTCCTCGGACAACAACAAACTTCCGGGCTTGCATTTCAAAATAAAAGCCACTTGGAAAAAAGTATCCTAATACTTCCGGTTATTAGATTTCTGTCCCTTGACGCTGTGGAGGCGACCCCCCCCCCCCCTTCCCGCTCTCGTGTGTGCGCGCACGCACGCCCTCATTCTCTCAGTCACTCGCTCCCTTCTCTTTTGAAAAGCCCCGTTGTGGGGCAGATTGACAGGAGAGAATGAAAATGAGGCGGACGCTCCGTCACGACTTCAGTGCGTACGCGTCCCTTTGAGAAGACCTCCAAAGTTGGATCCTATCACCATGGGAGCTGTTTGGGCAGCGAGGAACTTTTGTTTGTTTTTGCTCTTGTTAAATAGTCGCCAAAGCGTTGCGCTTCCAGAGATCCGAGGTGGGACTGTAGTGAGTGTAACATGTGTTGGTGTTTTGTTTGGCTGCTTTTTACGCACCGCTTTTAGGAGCGCGCTCCTTTATTAACAACGGAGACTTTTACTTTTTCTTTTAAAGCTTGTTTTTTTTTAATAGAAAATGACATATAACAGTTTTTCTAAGCTCTTTGTAAATCTAACCTTTTAAAAATAAGTTTTACAAGCTATTATTATCAGTAGATAAATACGTTTTAGTTTCTGTGGTTTGTTGCTTTAGAATATCCTGACAGAAAAGCGCATGTTGGCATTTTTTTTTTCAGTGACCTTTGGTGAAAGTAAGTAACTCAGATGTGGATTTTAACAGATCCATGCGCAGAGGGAAGTGATGGCTGTCACATTGATGCTATTTGTCAGACTACCCAAAGCTCCTACAAGTGCACGTGTAAAGCAGGCTTTAAAGGAGATGGAAACCACTGCGAAGGTAATGTCTATTTCTTAACTGAGTATAAGGTTAAATAAAAAAGGTTGTCAACTGGTACTGACGTTTTTAATTTGCTATGATTATACAGAAATGTGCAAAAGTCTTTTTTGCCAAATTGTCATATAACCTTGATGAGACTTTTTGAAAAATTTTGAACTTTTTTCTGCTCGTTTTCAGTCCAATATTTGATAAATTTCAGAAAAATGTTTATTTCGTTTTAGGTTTTTGTTTTTGTTTTTTGTTTCAAACATTAAAAGGCTCCTAAACCCGAGATAAACCAGTGTTGTGTTTGAAACATTTATGTAAATTAACTGTTTTTAGTTGTCATTTATCAACACATATATCCAATTTGTTCCAATTTAGTTAAATGTTCGGAAACTACCAAGTAATTTCAACCTTAAAGTGATTCCTAAAATGCTACAAGCTGAAATTTTGTATATACAGAAGGATTCAGGTTTTTGATCATGTTTCATAAAAACATAATTATCAGAAAATATTCAACTAAAACACAGTTTTAAAGACCTTACATCGTTTGTTTTCCCCCTACTCGTCCACTTTCCAGTTTTCATGTTGACAGTGCAACATGTTACTGAGAACAGAGTGGAAAAGCAAGAAATCAAGAAAGAAAAAATAAATACCTTCAGGATGCATAAAAACTATTTAAAAAACACTTCTGAATGTTCCTAGAAAGTCTGACTCTTTGCAAACCCATTATAAATAAAAATAAATAAATGCAAAGCAAATGTGGATTGATAAAAGATTTGCTGAGTTTTGTTCACGTTAAAACAATCAGAACAAAACAAAAGCCAAACTTAATAAAACACTAGCTAAAAGGCTTAAATCAGCAGAACGGTAGACGAAAACAACAGCTAAGAGATCAAATTAGCGCACACCATAATTAAAGGTAAAACTGGCAAAACAATAGTTTAAAACTGGGACAGCAGATTATAGGTGAAACCAGCAAAACCGTCACTTAACACTAAAAGTACAGCAAGTACACTAAAAAGGTTTTTAAATAACATAAAGTTTATTCAGGATTTATAGTTTTCCCTTCATTTCATTGAGGAAAAATAATAGAAAAGTCATGGTTATAATGACCTGAATTAGCTCAGTGTTCTGTTATGTGAACAAGTAAATAGCTGAAAGTAAACTAAAAGTGCAGAAAGAGACTTTAAATAGGAAAACAACAGTGTGAATGCTGAATCAACATCTGATCATTCATGTAAGGGTTTTGTGTTTCAGTCTGTGATTCCTGTTTATTGAATGACTTCTTTATCCTCGTGGTGTTTACTCCTCAGATGTTGACGAATGTGACATGAAATACAATGGAGGTTGTGTYCACGAGTGCAACAATATTCCCGGGAATTATCGCTGCACTTGTTACGATGGGTTCCACTTGGCACACGACGGGCACAACTGCCTGGGTAAGACGAACACTAACCCGCTCAGAGAGCAACAACCAGTGAGCGAGAGGTTGGGTCCCGAAAGATGAATGTTAGTGTGGGATGTGTTTGAAGAGTCCCAGACTCATCTAAAAAACATTATCTCCATCCGCGGTGTTTATAACTTGGAGCGAAACAGCTGTGTTCGATTTATACGGGTGAAAAGTTTGTTTGTGATTTTAAAAAAAAAGAAGAAGAAAAGAAATGCTTCCCCAGAGTTTTCTGTAAAGTGTTTAGAAATGCAATCATCCCACTGTCCTGCAGATGTGGATGAATGCAAGTTCAACAATGGCGGGTGCCAGCACACTTGTGTCAACACCGTGGGCAGCTACGAGTGCCGCTGCAACGAGGGCTTCTTCCTCAGCGACAACCAGCACACGTGCATCCACCGCTCCGTGGGTGAGTTCCCGAACAGGGACCCGGTTACTTTCCAGTTTCACTTCCAGTGTTTGCTTGTCAATGTTTGTGTCCAAACCGCTCTGTATTGTGAAAAGATTAACTCTCCTGCTGCCCTAGGGTCAAAATGAACACAAGGGCTTAGAACTGAGGCAGGAGGAGGGTTAAGAGTGTCAGTTCATGAGCACCGAGGCAGCCTTATTTACTGTTCTGTTAAAGTTTTTTTGTCCTAAATCTTGTTTTGTTGTTTCTCACTACTGTAGGATTTACAATTTTCTCTCAAATCCCCTAAAAATACATAAAAATCTAGCAGTGTTAGACGTCATCATTCTGCGACTAAAGCCACAGCTAACACTGCTAATGCTGCTGCTGAAGATGATATTTAAAATCTAAATTCAAAATGTGTTCATTGAAAACAATAACATTAGCAGCGTTAGCAGTCGCCTTTGTCTCAGGATGATGACATCATAAGGAGAGCACCAACGACAAAGGCTGTGTTCCATTCTGAAATACTTAAATGTAAACTTCAACATTTCGAACTTTTAAAGTGCCTGTGACATGCCTATCCTTCAAATACAAAAAGTCAAAGAAAGCATCTTCATACTTAAGAAAATTGGCAAAGAACACTTGATTTTACCCATTTTGTCACATAACTGGCATATTTTCTTTTGAATTTGACTCGGCTAAAGTGAAACAGGAAGTGACATCAAAGGGGAACTCATTAAAAATAAACTCCCTGGTCTTTGTTTAATAAAAAGCAGCATTATTTAAACTTGAAATCTTCTTCTTTTCTCAAAAAAGCGACTCAAAATAATCTAAAGAAACATCAGAAAATTCCCTGCTGTCTGTTAGCTTTTGTAGCAACACACTGTTTACACGCAGACTTTCCCCTTTGACATCACTTCCTGTTTCTTCACATGAAAATATCTCAACAACTGTTCATCTCAGCAGCGTGAAATTTGTTTTGCAACATGTTATCAATGTTATCTTTCCAAAAATGCATTCACGCTTATTTAAAAAATCTGATGTCACGGGCCCTTTAAGATTGAACTTTTATGTTTAGATTTAGGATCTAATTTTTAGACATAACTTTTAACAGTCAAAAGTAGCAACCACTTAGCTTTAAATGTGAGAACAGTGAGCTAAATAATTATAAAATATTAGTGGAATTTGTTTAACTAAGATTTACGCTTTTAGCTCAGATTTTTATCTTAAAATGTGGATTATTTAACTTGCGATGCATCCTACGTAAAACCCAGAGAAATATAAAGATGCACATGTACAACCATGAGTTGTCTGCCACGAATGGTTAAAAAGAAATGTAAGAAACTTTATAAATAATTTTTTTGCTCAGCAACGTTTTTATTTTTTTCTGCCTCTCATTAACGTCGGAGAGTGACAAACAGGTTATCATGGTTAGCCTAATGAACCTCCGGCAGCAGCTTTAACCTTTTTTGTTGTCGTTTGTTGTAAATGCAGTCACTTTTTCTTGTCGTAGATTGTTACAAACGTATTTTGGGGATTTTAAACAGTAGCGTCAGTGGCAGTTTTCAGAATTCCTCCTGAGATATTTAAAATGTCACCCACAGATGAGGCTCTGAGGTGCAGTGAGTGCTGGCTCAGGCCCATCGCGCTGTGGGAAAACGTCCTCTGTGTCCCGAAGGACAAAATAAGTTAATAACTGCAACACTCGGCTCTATGCGGTCTGTGTCACAGATTAGTCTGAAGTGCCTTTGTTTGTTCATCTTGACTGGAGTCGACTTAAATGCAAGTCCTTTCCACTCCATTGGGTCCTGACAGCCTTTGTAAATCCTGCAGACCTGACCACTCAGCTGTGACCCGGCTATATAAATGGAGCCGCTCCTCCTCTCAAAGCGGGATCAAGTGGATGGTTTGTGGTGTTTCTTTTTCCAGGCAAACTTAGTTCTGGTTGCTAAATATTTCCCCCTCCCACCCAGCTCTATCTGTCTGTGTAAAGTTGGATAAAACAACAGGCTGGTGGATGTTTTTTTGAATTTTGAAAGGCGTGAGAACCCTTCGTGTCTTTCTTTGAGGATGCCGGACTAATCTCTGTGTGCGCGCCTTTGTGTTTAACCGGTCGGTCACTGCGGGAGAGTTTCATTGTGCGCCTCTTTTTCTGTCCCAGAGGGCCTCAGCTGTATGAACAAGGAGCACGGCTGCGCCCACATCTGCAAGGAGAGTACCAAAGGGGGCGTGGCCTGCGAGTGCCGCCCGGGGTTCGAACTGGCCAGGAATCAGAGGGACTGCATCCGTAAGTGCGCCGGTGTTGCACCATATTTTGTGACCGTCATATATTGTGACCAGAGGGGGCACTGTTGCGTTTCTYCAACAGAACMTGGCCACAAAGAAGAATATGATATGCCAAAAGTGTAAAAAAGCTGAAGACACATAAAAAAAACACCTGTTGACTGTTGTCCATGGTCGCAGAACACGACAGCTGTTGTCATGTATTGTTACTTCCCTGTAGCTTGGTAAATAGTAAAAATATTTATTAATAACCTGATTCTACTTATTGTTTACATCCCCTAGTGTCAGAAAAATAACTTTTGTTCACTAACACGATGATGACTGTTATTAAATTAGTTCAGGGTCACATAATATGACAGCTATTATCATATATAGTAGTAATAACAGTAATAGTCAACATGCCGGTGATCAAAAGTTATTTTTTTTGGCATTAGAGGCTGTAAACAATGAGTAGAATCAGTTTATGAATAAATATTTTTACTAGTTACCAAGCTACAGGGAAGTAACAACATAGGACAACAGCTGTCATATTCAACAAGTGTTTGTTTGTTTCGTATGTGTCTTCAGCTTTTTTACYATTTTGGCGTYTCATGTTCTTCTTTGTGGTCAAGTTCTGTTGTAGAAACGCAACCGCGCCCCCTCTGGTCACAATATATGACGGTCACAAAAAATGGTGTAACACCTGAATGAAGCCGAAAAGGGACARGACGCACTGTCCGGGACACCCCTTTGAATGTTTGCCCCCGCCCCCTTTTTTTTTTGCGTGTCMTTTGCCCGGCAGTGACCTGCAACCACGGCAATGGAGGCTGCCAGCACACCTGCGAGGATGCGGAGAACGGCCCCATATGCAGGTGTCACGTCAGGTACACTCTGCAGACCGACAAGAAGTCCTGCGTAGGTAAGCACTTCCTCCAGCTGTGTCGTACACTCACACGTTCCTCATCGCCGTGCTTTAGTTTACAAAATGTCAGTTTAGTGTGAGCGCGGATGATACTTTTAATGTTGAAGGCTGCAGATGTTGGACTCCAGGTTTGATAACTAAAGTGAAAACATTWTCATTTGTTTCCYTTCTTTTACAATTTGTAATTTTACTTTGGGGATCCAGTAGAGCAGCCTATAAGCGGTCATGACAAACTCTACCAAACAGRATAACAATAGTTATATCTAATTTAGCACAATATACTTTGTTATGTGAAATATGGTCTTTTTGAAAATTTAAAACCTTAAAATAAAAAAAGAAAACTGGATGTTTTATCATTTAAGTGTTTTTCAAATGACTCGTTTTAGTCCTGATTCATACAAAACAGTTTGGTTGGATTTGTTTTTATTTTTTATATTGTGGATGAATTATATCTTGATGAATCAGGGTGTGTGTTTCTGACAGCGGTTTAAAAAGATATGAATCAGAGTGTGTGTTATCTGTATTCTTTCAGTGTGTGAGTGTGTGTGTGTGTGTGTGTGTGTGTGTGTGTGTGTGTTTGAGGTCCAGGCATGTAAATACAATGTTAGCTGCAGACTTGGCTGCGTTTCCTGTCACATACCAAGCCAGAGCAGGCACAGTTTGTTCACACACCGTTCTGATGGTTTTAGCTTGCCTTTCACTACTTTTAGCTTTTAGCTACCATTTTGCTGCTTTTAGCTTCAAGCTACTCTTTTGCTGCTTTTAGTTTTTTTGCTAGCGCTTTGCTATTTTTAGCTAGCTTTTGCTATATTTAGCTTTTAGTTAGCATATTCTTATTTCTGGCTTCTAACTGTCCTTTTGCTGCTTTTGTATACTTCTGTTACTTTTAGCTAGTATTTTTTGCTACTTTTAGGTTTTAGGCTTATTTATCTTTTATTTAGGATTTTGCTACTTTTAGCTCCTAGCTTGCTCTTTGACACCTTTTATTTTTTGTTAGTGTTTTGCAACGTTTAGCTGGCAATTAGCTACTTTTAGCTAAATGTTTGCTATTTTCAGCTTTTAGTTAGTATATTGTTATGTTTGGCTTCTAGCTGTCCATTTGCTGCGTTTGTTTACCCTTGTGTTACTTTTAGCAAACCTTTTGCTACTTTAGGGATTATGCTCATTTATCGTTTATGTATTAGCTCCTTTTAGCTCCTTGATAGCTTTTTGATACTTTTTTTGCTAGTGTTTTGCACTTTTTAATGGGAAATTAGCTACTTTTAGCTAAACCTTCGCTACTTTTAGCTTTTAGTTAGCATATTTTTACTTGTAGCTTCTAGCTTTCCTTTCGCTACTTTAAACTTCTAGCTAGTCTTTTGCTGCTTTTAGTCTTTTGCTAGTGTTTTGTTACTTTTAGCTTTAGTTAATAATATTTTTATTTTTAGCTTCTAGGAATCCTTTTGTTTTTTTTGTCCATTTTCTACTTTTAGCTTTTAGATACATTTCTGCTCATTTCGCTACTTTTAGTTCTAATGGGCCTCATGCAAGAACATGTTCGTATTCTTATCCTAAATTTCTCTTACTTTTGTTCGTACAAAGGGTTCGTACGAACATGTCACGT